AGTAGGACCAGTCAAACCCTGGGGGAAGCCATGTTTGTTTTTATTATTATTAGAGAACGCTAACGTGCGTACTTCATATTTAGAATTTGCTTTTCCTAATATGGTAGGATGAAAATACCCAGTGCAATACCGTAAAATAATGACATGCTGTAACCAATGGTGTTACTGTGACAGATGTATAATGATATACATTATCGCTCAAGTCATCTAATATTTTACTCCAACAAACCAACGTAACACAACAAATTTTTAAGGCCCCTAATTTTGTCAAATGCATTCATTGAGCTCTGAGAATACCCAGCCAGGAACTGCTGGTTTGACTATGATAACCTCCCTAAAATAATATCATGTTTATCTAAAAATAATTTGGTTTGTGATTGTGACTATTGGTAAAATCTTGACTTTCATCCAAACACATTACATGATTAATAATCAATAAACTAACTACATTAGCCAGAACCTGCCTAATTTTTAAATTCAACTATAAGCAAAATCGTTTAGCTAATAACCACTATAAGGACATTATAAATTCACACATACGTCCTACAAATAATGAATAAAGTAACTGTATTAACCAGCCAGCACCTGCTTACACATTTGTAGCATACATGTATTTTTCAAATTATGTGAAAAATTTACACCCACATGGTACAAAAATATTTTTAATGTTTTTTTAAGAAAGCAGTATTTCAGCCATGATGCAGTTTCAATACAAGTAGATACCATTTTGATGTACCAAGAGGGAAAATAAAATATATATATTTTTTTTTTTAGTACATAAATTTATACATTACTCAATAATTTTATCAATATCATGATCAAAATATGTTTTATTCAAATGATCAAATTGGAGATTTAGTAGCTATCAAAAACCAGACTTCTGATTGGTTCAGTAAATAATTATATTCAACCAATCAGAAATATGGAAGCAGAGAATGATTCAATATTGGGAATCAGATCAAATGTATCAATTATTAATGTAACTGTAACAATAAATTGTACGTACAAACAACCATAATACATTGCACTGAATTATGTTGGTTTGCAAATTGAGTACTGTAAATGCATTAATTATTCACAGGATTTTAATTTCACAATTTTTGCTAATGAACAAATTCGTGAAATTAAAACAATGAATATTCTCAAAACATCAAAATAGTGAAATTAATTAAATAAATGGTTTCACAGTATATACATTATAGCCTCACTCTGGTGCAAGAATATAAAGCGCCCTCAAGGTGTGATGGAAAATTAATCTTACCTTGTGCAGCTTTGATAGGAGACAGTATACCACTTGACTTTGATGATTTGGGGATGTCAGGAGAAGTAGACACACCATGCTGGTTTGCTACCAGGACATCTTTGATTGATAAGTCATCTGTACCGTTTGTATCAATAAGATCCACCATTACACGGCCGCATTTTTCCACTTTGACCACATTAGCAACAAGTCTCTTCTCCCCAGTCAGTGATTCAAAATTCTGTACGCTTTCCAGTGACCACGTGGCATGAGCGGGTTTTAGCCCATCTAAACGGCAAACAAATGCCTGTGCTGGGAATTTGACAAAATCCGGTTTGAGCTTTTTGACTCTCTGTATATGTAACGTTTCTGAGTTGCCATAGTCAACATACATAAGAGTCAGATTCTCCCCGTCAATGGCGACGATCTGAGCACGGTACCATCCATCATCCTCTGTAAACTGACCACAGCATTTTTGACCAACATGGGGGGTTGTAATTGCCAAGTCGCCAATGTCTCTGTTAGAGTAAACCTCAGCAATCTGATCCATCAGTATATCTAGCTCCGGAACGTGTTTCCACATCTGACACCAAAACTGACTTGGGCTATTTATATACGATACCAACACATCATAGTAGGACCCTTCTTCCAGTATTTGTTGAATATAAGGAGTTTCCATCTCACATCTCATCACCGATGACATGGTTTTCTTCGAAGGCTGGTCAATAGTAGGTGGTTTTGTTTGTGTATCATGGTAACCGTTAGCAACTAACTTGGTTACTGCAGATTGTGGTTTGTCTAACATCTTGTTATGGGTCATACACGAATCTTTGAACTTACGATTGATACACATTTGCGCTTCATCATACAATTCAACGTAGTATGCATCTTCTACCTCATCATGTTGAGTAATACTGACTGTAAATACTTTATTCAGGATCATGTCTTGCAGCTGCTTAATCTGCTCTGGAGACCAATTTATATTTGTAGTCTGTACATCCCTCATAATCGAACAACGAACTGCCTGGGCAGGGAGATCTAAAAACTGTTTGGTTATCGGTTTCAATCTAGCTTGTAACAACATCTCCGTGTTTCCATAGTCAACAAACTGTACTTCGACATCTCCCTTCTTACGAACGCCAGTAATCACTGCTCTATACCACTGGTCATCTTCTGTGTATTGTGCAAGGCAAATAACGCCCAGCCCGCATGCTACAGAATTATTTCCCCGCGATGTACCTGTGCAATACTTATCAATATCAACCATCAGCTGGCCAAGATCAGCATCATATTCCAAAACTTGAAACCAGATGTGTTCCGGATCACTGCAGTGAGTAACAAGAACTTCTTCTCGACATCCAACCTTCATTTTCATTTTCTGGAAATCAAGATCTATTGGCACTGGAGATAGTTGTCTCTCATCTGACTCAGAAAATCTTACTATCGTTGGTGATTTCTTCATTTGAAGTGATGGTGGTGTACCAGCCCTTTGCAATCCAAAACTCTCCACCAATTTGGAACCAATATCTAGGCCTAATTCACTGTCAATAAGCTCTACCACAAGCCGACCATCGAGTACTTTACTCAGCACTACTGCACACATTTCACGATGTGAAACCAATTTCTGAAACTCTGTAGCAATATTCTCAGGTGGGATACTTGCAAGACTTCGATAAACACATTCTGTTAACGAACACAACACAGACTGGACAGGATCCACAGCAAACTCCGCCGTCAGTTGTTTCAGTCGAGAAATGGGCAACTTCTCACTATTTCCATAGTCAACGTATAGAACTTCAACTTCAGTTTTGTCAGTTTTCACAATTTGTGCTCGGTACCAGCTATCATCTTCAGTGAAACGTGCGCAGCAGTAAACCGACTTGCCAGTAAATCGCAAATCAGATGGCGTGAGGGCAGTGTAAAACTTCTGCAATTTATCTTGTAGTAAATCAATATGATTAGTCAGCTGGCAGTAGAAGCTGGAAACAGTGATAACAGTTGTGACTAATACCGACAATCTTGTTCCTGGTTGAATATCTGGTTGTTTTAATTCCACACTTACAATCTCAGGAGCATGATTTACTGTCTTTTGCACATGATCAGCATGTTTTGTTTCTTCTTTCTGGACCACAGGTGACTCTACTTTCTCGATTACCTTCTGTGCCTCTGCAGTGATGTCTGATATTTGGTTTTTTAGTGGCCATCTCTCACGCATTTTCATATTGATCACATTTTGGGATTCTGATAATTCCACCAAGTATCGCCCATTCTTGTCAATCCCGATAATGTATGCAATCAGTAGAAAACCATCACTTGCATCCAATAACCAATCTTTCTCGGCCTTAGACCACCCACCGGCAGACGGTTTCACATAGGCAAGATTGCAGCTGATTCCCTGGACTGGCTGGCAACAGTTGTCAGGTAGAGGCTGGAGTTGCGATATTGAAACAATTTCTTTATTCCCAAAATCTATGTACTTCACTTCTACTTTATCGACATCAACAATTTTAGTTATTTCTGCTCGATACCATTCACCATCCACTGCATATTTTGCACAGCAAACAAACCGGGTCATGATCTCATAAGACTGTAAACTTGTTGTGTTTCCTTGTCCACAAGCTGTTGCTAGTTCACTCATGATAGCGTCGATATCACCAGTGCTAGAAGCCAGCTGGCAAGTGATATTGAATGGATCATCAACATGGGTGACATACACAGAATGGTAGGACCAAAGTTTTAACTGCAAAGTCTCCAGCTTAATTTGTTTGCATCGTGGCTCAGCAGGAGAGTATTCAACCAGTTTCTCTCGGACCATTATATCAGCAATATCAACTGCGGTATTATCATGGACATGGTACAAGTGGACAAATAATTTATTCTGATTTTTTGAGTCTACAACTGCTTTCACGTTTTTATCGACAGTTAACCTGGCCAAAGACACAGCTGCTTCTTTAGTTAAACTAGAAACACCATCTAATGCACATTCCAGGGCACCAACCGGAGTTTGCAAAAAACTATAATGAACTTCTCTGATATTGGAGAAAGAAGTGATTTCAGAGTCACCAAAATCTACAAATTGGACTCTGCATTTTTCGTAGTCCAATACTTCAACAACTTCTGCTCTGTAGAATCCCTCATCTCCTGAGTACTTGACAATACACGGAGTACCTTTCCTGATTGGCTGCAGCTCATGATCTTTTTCACGTAGGCCACTATAGTAGGTACTAACTTTTGCAGTCATTTCATCAATTGGGGCAGATTTTAAATACACCCAGAACAGTTCAGGGGAGATGCAACATGCCATACAGACATCATCTTCATAACCAACCGGTAGTTCCAATCTCTTGAAAGTGTCCAGCAAAATATGACTGTTGTCACATGACTTTCCAAACCCTAACTGAACCATCTGATCTGCCACCGACCCACCATTGGAAAAATTCAACTGAACGAGGACTGCGTTCCCGCTTGCTTTCAAAACCGTGCCAGTAAATTCCTCGTATTCCAAGCACTCAGTCAAGTAACTGACGGCAGCTTCGTCCCAATCCCACTCACCAACGGGCTCGATATTAGCTAATATACACTCGGTTACCAGGGCCGGTGTTCCGAATAAAATCTCCTGGGCAGGCTGTGTGGACGAGGGGCCAGCAACCATAACGTCTTCCACAAATCGGATGTCCGAAAATGGAATACGCTCTGAATTTCCGTAGTCGATAAAATTTACGTTGAAGTAACCCTTCGTTGTGCAACACCCACAAATTCGGCCACGATACCACTTCGAATCATCTGAATATTTTGCGAAACACAAATCACCGATATCAAGAGATCTCTCATTTACCACACACGAGGCATTTTCAATGAATTGTTGGCAGTTATCCATCAATGTTTGGAATTGAGTAGCGGACGAAGTATCGCACTGGGCCCAAAAACGACATACCCCCAACGAGCATTTCACTGACGTGATGTACACAGAAATACAAGCCCCTTCGTCCAAAACTACGCTCACAGATCGCTCCATTCTCACTTAAACTGACCTTCGATACAATGAACCTCTAGTGAATGTACAATTTGGAGAACGTGTTCAAGTCCTTCGGTTAAAATTGATGCGTACTTTACTTTTTTCCGTTCACGCCGCCATCACCATGCCGGTCTGTCAAGAAGTTATTTGCATATGATAAATTAGCATAATGACAGAAACGAAAGGCTGCCGATAGAGGGCGAGCAAAACATTTTGACTTGGGGGGACTTTGGTTTTTGAAAACACTTCTCCCTTGTCACACAATTCCACTATACACAATTACTGAGCACATACTGTCTACTTTTACTATTAAAGAACTCAAGCCACTATTATATTTATGGATGTATTCAGACTATTACTTAACTGAATGATTTTTTTTTCTTCTTCTAACCATTTCAATTTGTAAATTCTGATGAACAAGCATAAATTATTAATTTGAAAATTATATCATCGATCTTCCGAAAATAAGGATTTCGTTGCACATGCTGTATGTTTTATACAAAGAAAAAATAAAAACAATAGAATTTTATTGTAAGCCGCGTGAGGGCATAACATTGAAGTCTCGATACGTACGCAGATAATCATTATAAATTTAGCGCACACTCAGTACGCTGATACACATTGTTGTATATTGCCAACAAAACACCGTGTTTTTTATCTCAGTGAAATATATACCAGCTGTTCTAGATCATTCGTCAAACGTGTTGATTGCACATGGTTTGATACAGAATACACTGCTTACAAAAGATCAATGTAAGTTGCAAAAATGTTGCTAAACAAGTAATTTGGATTGTCTACGCTAATATTAGGATGTTATAAAAAAGAGCTGACACATGTTATTTTGGACAAGTTGGATATTTACTGTCAATTCAACATTATCATGGAACTAGAAAGATATGTGATTTCTGCTCACATGCAATTATTAGCTTTTTGGTGATCGTTGTTTGCGTATTTGCGTAAACTTGGAAGAAAACGACGTGCGTGCAAGTTTTACAATATCAATTCAATTGTACTGGTATATCCCACCCTACCCCGCCGACTGCTAACAAATTCTTGAATCTTTAAAAAATCAAAATGATTGTTATATATAGCGTTCAACCACAGTCCCTCTATCACAGAGAGACTGTGATTTAGCTATGAAACGCAGATAAAAAGCCGTAGGAATTTTGAAAATAAATTAATTAAAATAATTATTTTGTATTTACTGTTTCCGAGTATATCATCAATGCCACCATTTTTAATGATGCCCGTAATCATAGTGGAATTTAATTCACTGTGATCATCAACTTGTATCAGTAGTTACACCAGTATTGAGAACATGTCATATATATTATTCATAACCCTGTTTTTATTTGCAAGTCAGGTCGGCAACATAAAGATAATTGAAAAAGATCTGACTTATCAAATCCATACACAACAATTAGGTGCCTACTGCCCAGTTCAAATGCTGCACCGCGAACTGCTTGATCTACAGGCGAACCAATGAAATGTACGTTCAACAGCTGGTAATGATCACGTTTAAGGGCGGCGGTCGTCGCACCGCGTCATGTTCGATATGGGACTCATGTGTTTTGTTTGTTTGTTTGTTTGTTATTTTTTGTTACTTTATTGTATTTTCATCTAAGATCCCACTCTGGAATACGGTTTCAATAAAGATTACTATTATTATACAACGCGTATAAAATGCATTGTTTGTTTACATAAAATTCAAACACGCGCTGCGCGACGACCACCGCGCTTTAACTGACCAATGTCTGGCAAGAAAATACACCTAGAAGTTTCGTTGATATTTATGTCAATTTCGATAAAATAAGTGTATGACTTTAGGCTACTCGTGTAAACATAGTTTTATGCTATTATCCACTGTACTAACATGTCGGTGCCTTTCTTTCCTGGTTTTTCATTTGCATTGTAACACATTGTAATTGTGAAACTGCACCGTAATAAATTGTAATTGTGAAACTGCATCGTAACAAATTGTAATTGTGAAACTGCACCGTAACAAATTGCAATTGTGAAACTGCACCGTAACAAATTGCAAGTGTGAAACTGCACCGTAACAAATTGTAATTGTGAAACTGCACCGTAACAAATTGTAATTGTGAAACTGCACCCTAACAAATTGCAAGTGTGAAACTGCGCCGTAACAAATTGCAAGTGTGAAACTGCACCATAACAAATTGCAAGTGTGAAACTGCACCTTAACAAATTGCAAGTGTGAAACTGCACCGTAACAAATTGCAAGTGTGAACTATGCATCATAACAAATTGCTGGACGGAAACTTGTGTCAAATCAAATCTACTAATACGCATGTGCAGTGAACCAAAACGTACCAAGACCACCAGTACAATACTTAAAGGGCGGCAGTCGTCGCGCCGCGTCCTGTTCGATATGGGACTCATAGCGACGTAAACAACGTGTGTAAAATACATTGTTTATTTACATGAAATTCGAACACGCGCTGCGCGACGACCACCGCGCTTTAATAGGGGGGTCGGCAAGGGGTATTTTCGTAAGCTGTAATCAATTGTTTTTATTCTCGTAATAATGTAATTTCAATAAATAAAAAACGTAAATTCGTAGACATTAGCAAGGAGTAAAATGTAATCAGCTATATTATTCGTCCGTAATTTGTACAAACATCTTATTTTGTGTAAGCGTATTAAGCATTTTCAACATTACCGTAAATGTCGTAATCGTTACGCAATCTCCAATTTTGATTCTTTAACACAAATTATCAAATATATTATAAAAATGTAATTAGGAAGTTGCTTTATCTGTAAAGTGTAAAAACCTATTTTTTACTGTACATGGAACTTTTATTTTTCCTGTAAAAACATAAATTGCCTTTTTTATTTCCTGTAACCTGTACTAGCTACCCCCCTTAATAGAGAAGTCCATTGTTTCATAGAACAAAAACTCTGATGTCTGATACTTGGTTTTTAATTCACGATAAATCAGTCCAATGTATCTATCGATATACAGTATCAAAATTGAATTTTAAAATTACATGTTTTCGTCCTCATTGCACTTATAGCATTATTATTAATAGAAATAGAAAGTAGAAATAAAGTAAATGCTAAGTGCGTATACCCAAGGATACGTCCATGTAATTTGCAATTTATCGGCATAACATTTTTACTGATGATAAACCATGTCCTACTGTTATTGTTTTGTATACAGTGAATGACAGAAAACGAATACATGAAAAAATATTTAAGGTAGAGATGCAGGTTTGTGGGCACTTGGGAGTGAAATTTTTTTTTTTTGCTTTTTATTATCCAAACAGTCTTGGCTATAGACTGTTAAAATGTTGTAGAATTGTGAATAGTGGAACATACTCAAAAACGATTTTAAAATATAGATAACAGGTGCAAACATTCTCTCCTTTAAATGCTTAGCAAGATTTAGCAAGGCTGTACATAAATAATAAAAAAGAAACATGGTGAAAAAAGAAATGACGGGATCTCCATATTACGCACTATATTTAACTTTTAACAAAACGATAATACATTTAAATTTGGAACTGTCACAGCCATTTTAATTATGAGCATTAGCAAACTTCTTACTGAATGAATTGTTATGCAAATTAGCAATTATCTCAGCTTCTTTTTAGTGCACATCCCAGAACTTTAAAAAATAGCTCCTAGATGCTTTGACCTTTTGTTTTGAAATTTTCACAAATGATTGACAATGTATTTGGCTTCAAAACGCCGTCGGGGCATTGTTTTTGGTTGAACAGTGTTACAACAATCGTACAGACAACTAGCCTGAGTGTTAATTTATGCATAAACTTGAAGTAGTGAAATTTGGGCTGCTGCCCTGCAAAATTGACAATTGGTAGACAGTTTTCAAGACGACACTTTCTTCATAGTAAACAGATGTACCCACAAACCAATTTTGACAGGAAACAGAAGCATGGTTTAGAAGCTAATTTTTTTAAAATCACTTTTGACCAAAAAAGCACATTTTTGTGCATATTTCGAACTACAGTGTCCATAAAAAAAATACTAACAACATTTTAAAATTTATACAATAAGCTTTCCGAAAACATATAGTTTTGTGGACAAGGGAGGTCATCTTGGTTTCCTAATTAACTAATTAAAATACCTGTCAGGTAAACTGCATCTTTTTACATTCAAATATGTAATTGTGATTGACAACACATGTACACGTCTTCAGTCATACATGGATGTGACACAACATCTGCAACAGCCCATTGCTGATTGGATATTGAATTTACTTAATTTAAAATAATATTGAATTAACTTAATTTATTTAAATTGATTGGTCATTTGGAATTCTAACAGTCATTTTGATTTATAAAAATGTATATTTATAAAACATTTACAATGCCCTCAGGTTTCTGCTGTTCATTTTAATCTCAAACATTCATTTAAACAAGCTGAAATACACTCACAGTTATACACATTGTTTTTTAAACAATTCAGACTCGAACACATGTTGAAGTAGAATTATTCTTTGGAACCATGATAATTACTTTTTTTTCTAAATAAACATTATTTTGTTTTGGAATTTGAAATGGTTTCCAGAGGCACTGGATCAGGATCAGATTGATATTTTACTTTGTATTTAGTGGGAATTTATTTCCCAAAATGCATTGTACAAATGTTACCTTTCCTTCAAAATGGAAATGCTTTTCCCACAATGCAATGTACTCAATATGCCAAGTAGATATAGATTGACCCAGCTATGGCAGCATGCAAATATATTGTTTTTATTTACAATTCCAAAATTATAAAATCTTTTGTGAAGTCTCTGGCTTTTCTTCGACATAATTAAGAGATTTTCAGCAAAAATCAAACTATTCGATATTGAACTTCTTTTTTTTTATAGCAATGTTTTGACGCCATTTTACGTTTGATTTTGAAGTGTATGGAAAATGCTAAATTGATCTGAATAAAAATACAGCTTTGAAAACAGGTAAATTACAACTGATTTAAAAACATCTGGGGTCACACAGTCAAAATTGGGGAGTATGAAAAGAAATTTGATTTTCAATTTGGTTTAAACCTCCATCAAGTCTGGAAAGAACTGCATGTTATAAATACAACCACTGAAGTTTAGGGTGTTCATTTTTATTTATTCATAATGAAATAAAATAACATAATCTGTAGGTACCAGTTACAAATATTTTACAGAAACCAAGAACTCTAAAATAATCTCTGTATTACTAACACTTTGATACTACTAATATTAATTCCATTAGTCAATGAATCAGAAAAAGGTACAAAACTGTTTCAGCAGGAAAAGCATTCCACAGTATCTAGACATTTTTTTTTCATTTATAACTAGGGGAACTGCAAAAAAGATTCATGACTGAGGGGTCTTCAACATTCAATGTGGGGGCAGAGCTACTGTAAGTATCTGGTACCCCAAATTTTGCACTATCCCAGACACAAATAAACAATATCAGAAGCAAATACATGAAAATGAAAGAAATCTTACTAGATTAAGTTAACTATTTACATAAACAACTTGAGACGTTTATCTCACAAGATTCTCTCCCAAATATGTACTGGTTTATGCTACAAGAGCCCCTTCTAAAATTTTCAAAATAAATATTTCTGTAGATACAATTGTAAAAGTTCTCAATCATTGTTTCTGAACCTCTTAAAACCCAAGTGGTTGGATAAGACTAGAATCACATGTGTCGTGAAGCCAGTCCGCACCTTACATTCTAACAGTTTCAATTACACTACCGACAAACAAAAATATCACTTGGGTATGTAGATCAGCAAAACAGTTTTCAGAAGGCACCATTGCCTGGAGGGGGTGGTGGCATTACATGGAGGGGCCCCTCATCAACTGTAGAATCTTTTCCTGCACAGATACAATTCATGATTCGTAAACTTTTATTGACACAATTTACAATATGATTTTTTTTTTCTCTTCTTTTGAAAGCTCAAACTATTGTACAAAAGTTGAATCCCAACTGGTGATGATACTCTAGAAAGAATGAACCAAACGTATATTACATAATAGAAACAAAAAATTCAATGTTTATATTCAAAAGAGAACTACAAAAATCCTGTTTTTTTTTCTTTATGTGAGCGAAGTGCTTTTATTGTTGAATAGTAGTTTTATTCATGCAAATTAATTTGAATGCTAAAAGTCAGGATTTTGTTTTCCTGCCCACAGGTAAAGTCCACAAGATAATTTTTTTAGCATTTGGAGGACCGTTTATCTTGAGAAAATTAAGTTTTATCTACGAGAGCTACAAGTTAGCCAGGGACAATATATACCAATAAAAACACATAGCAGACGTGTTAAATGGCCATATGTGCGTGTTTTTGTGCATATATAAATATCGATAAACATTGCTATTGTTGAGATGGAGGTAGGGAGACCATAAAAACCTGAATATTTTATAATCTGAGATATTTGGGAATTGCACATTTTATATTAGAAAACTTTTATGTTAGAAAACTGTGCAACTAAACTTCAGGGCTAAGCTGAACTATATGAAATAATGAATACTAATCAGGTGTTCAGTTTACGAAAGTGTTGAACACTGCAAGATATTGGGTTTGGAGAGGTATTGGGTTGAAAACAATGTAGAATTTAGAGACACAATGGTTTCAGAAAAGCATTGGGCTTAGAAGCAGGTACTGGGTTGAAAAAGGTGTAGGGTTTGGAGAGGTGATGGGTTTAGAATGGCATTGGGCTTAGAGGCATAGGGTTAAGAGAGGTGTTCAGCTTAGAGAGGTATTGGGTTGAAAAAGGTGTAGGGTTTGGAGAGGTGATGGGTTTAGAATGGCATTGGGCTTAGAGTTAAGAGAGGTGTTCAGCTTAGAGAGGTATTGGGTTGAAAAAGGTGTAGGGTTTGGAGAGGTGATGGGTTTAGAATGGCATTGGGCTTAGAGGCATGGGGTTAAGAGAGGTGTTCAGCTTAGAGAGGTATTGGGTTGAAAATGGTGTAGGGTTTAGAAAGATGATGGGTTTAGAAAGGCTATTGGGCTTATGAGGTGTTCAGTCGAGAGGAATTGAGTTTAGAGAGACATTGGGTGTACAGCTTAGAAAGGTGTTGGATTTAGAGAGAGGTGTTTAGATTAGAGGATTTGGGTTTAGATGGTGTTCAGCTTAGAGGTGTTGGGTTCAGAAAGATGTTCAGCTTAGGGGCATTGGGTTTAAAGAGATGTTCAGTTTAGAGGTGTTGAGTTTAGAGAGATGTTAAGCTGAAAGGAATTGGGTTTCAAGAGGTATCAAATGTTTTGTAAACTTCAAATAGTTTACATATTATATCTTTCAATTTAAATAAAAGCAGTTCTTTGTATATATATATATATATATATATGTAGTGATGAATAGGGAAGGGCAAAAAGAATATAGAAAGCCATGATACTTGTAAACAATGAGAAACAAGGTCTACAACAACAACAAATTATGGAAAAATAAACAAAAATGTACAAAATGTTGCACAATACTTTTAGCAGGGCGTGATTAACATTAAGTTTCCTGTCACATTTCTATATATCATGTATTTATTTAGCAATGTGGCTTCATGTATATACTTCAAAGATGCAATATGGACGCAGGAATTTGTAATAATTTTGTTTGATAATTTGTGGTGATGAATATATGGACTGATTTATTATGAAACGCAAATGCAGTTCTTGTTAGCACAACTCTGGATATTCGTCTGATATTCACAATGTAATTCTTTAATAAGTATGTGCCCTGGTTGTTTTCGGACATATAACAATCACAGGGCATGCATAATAGTGGTTCTGATATTTTATCTAACAAATACGATTGTGTGTCCTGCAATCGCAACATTTTACAGCGAGAGGGTCGTCACCTGCACACACGCAGGAATTGAGTCCCAAATGACAATAACAACACGCTGAAAACGCAAAGGCTCATGAGTAGACACTTGTTTGAAAACAATTACACGCTATGGCCATCTGACGCATGCGCATGTGACGACTCCCCCGCTTTAAGTTTATGAAGTCACAACAACACTATTAAAAATATATACGAGAGTATTGTCCACATTGCATCTTTAAAATAAAGAGAGCTACGCAGACTAAAATGATTTGTTTTAACCACGTTCCTAGGAGCAGGGTCAAGGTTAAATAGATCAATAATGAAGAAATGTAAATCCATTCTTGTGCCTTCCTTTCTTATTGGTACGTGCATTCATGTAAATGACAAAGACTGTCTATTGTGAAAACAAGTCATATTCTAATTATCCAGAATACAATAAATATAATTCTGGGTTTATGTGAGCTTCTACGGGAGATTAGCTTCCAGAAAAAACAGTACAAATGTCAAAGAAATCTTAATACTGTCCTTTATTTAGAAGTACATCAGGTGCATTTGAAATACTTCCAAATGTTTCTATAAAAACTATAGTAACATTTATGTATTGTGCATATTTTCTAATAGAGATAATTTGACTATGAACTTTAATGGAAAAATTAGATACCCAGTTAGACCCCATGACCCCAAATGTTCAAATTGGATTTATTTTTTAATTAAAATAAAAAAAAAACAGAATTTATGTATTCGGGGAAATTTTCAAGTGAATTCCAACTGTAGTGACAACTATATGAAATGTAGTTTTATATAAATATAACTTGAAATGAGCAGAATAAACAAGAGGGGATGAGTATCAGCTCAAAATGTTCCTTGTAATACAAAGCAATGCACCATGGGTAATATCATATCCATTATGATTATAAATAATGTTGTGAGGGGCACCTGCATATCTCCTAGAACTTTGAAACAGTCACAGAAATATATTACAAAGAAACATTTTTCTTCATTCATGCCAGGTTATACAAAACCAATTTCCTGAAAAGTCATTTATATTAAAAAAACAAAACAATAAAGTGTATTTTGTACAAGTTTTCGATGTGAATATACAATGAGAGTGTTGTTAAAAGTTTTGTTTTCGTGAACCATAAAGCATCATGAAATTTAAACAGCAATTTTATGTGCAGTTAGGAATGAACAAATTATAAAAAATAGGGGTTTACCAATATACGTATCTATCATGTTTATTATTTAAGAAATTAAATTATATCTGGAAATAAATTCATTGAAATACAAAGGTAATTATAAATACGATTAACTGTAATTGAGAAAATAATAAACTCCTAAGGAATTTTGCGTAAATGTGTGTGTTTGGTTTGAGTTTTGACACTACGAAGTGAAATATTCTGCAGATTTCGAGTCTTCATCCTATTCGTCGATGATGTATTCTTCAATGCTGAAGTACTTGTGTTCTTTTTCTTCACTGTAATGACAGATGATGAAGATGAAGATGATGGTGTTGCCATGCCAACTGATGGAATGGAGGGAGAAGAACAACTAGAGGAGTTGGATGTTGGGCTAGCTGTAGGAGAAAGGTTAACTTTTAATGCAGATGTAACAGACATGCCTGATGAAGAGCGGGTAAATACTGTAGAGCCTTTGATCAACTGCGGTTTTCTTCCTGGTAAAAACAAATATATAAAAACAGGTTGCATTAAAGAGAATCTTCTGCAGCCATGGATACCAGTAAGCAGAAAAATAAAGGGTTAGTTGAAGGTTAAAAATTGAACAATAAAAATAGTGTTACTTTTTACCAGAGTAAGAACTTAACTAATTGAAATTGCCTTTGAAACATAGACGATAATATGATTCTGATGTGTCAAGCTCTTACAGTGCAATGCATGAAGTATTTACTATATATCAAACAAAATATTTTAAGTAAATCTTCAACAATGCATTGCAAGTTTCTTGAAACATATGCTCATATAAGGAATTAATTTGCATAAATATTCTATATGACACTGCAAGTTAATTTACGAATAAGTCCATATAAAGCATTAATTTGCATAAATGTCTTATAAAAAAAAAATTTGCATAAATTTAATATGATGCACTGCAAGTCATTAACAAAACAGCCCATATATGGAATTAATTTGCATACATCTCTGAAAGACTCCACAAAAAAATTAATAAGCATTCATGTCTCCATAAAAGGAATGAAATTGATAAATCTCCCAGTGTTCCGCATGCAAGTCTATTTTCATGTTCAACTTGAGCCCGGTAACAAAAAAAAGAAATATCGGACAATTGTAAAATTGGAACACCTAATATGGAAAGAAACATTTAGGCTCATAAAAATTTGCACTTTCAGATCATTTTATCAGGGTCTGGTGACTATTATGTAAAATAATTTAGGCAAAATATTTACTAAACCTCTAAATTTCAACAGTTTTGATTGAGTAATGTTTTGACACTAGTTGATTTGTAAAGACTTGCATCACTTTGCTATACTGTGGTTCAACAGTAATTTGGAACAAGGGCGTATACTGATGAATATATTTCCCCACAAATTGTGTATATCAACAATCATTCAATACTTCACATAATAGTTTTATGACCTCCAAAATAGTATAGGAATGACCTCAGAGTGTAACATTTACCAACTGAATGCTGAATTTTGTCATTAAATCTGCATAATTTGTTTCCATATATAAAAAAAATTGCGCTCAAAACATGAAGCCGATACAAAATTACACCAATTTGATCTGAAATTAAAAAAGAAATTATAGAAAACTTTATAAAAATTTGAAAATAGATGAATAAAATTGTTGGCGGGCATTCAAATGGTAACAATATTAACTTCAAGGTTACACCATTATTGTCTTCACATTTGATTGATTGTAAGTAAAAGCAAATAAAAAATTTGGTTTGAGATCAGAAACGTTTTTGCTTCTTCAAAAATAATGTTTTGTGCTAGCATGCAATGCAATGAAAGAGCAACATTTTTGTTCACAAATGCCAACATTTACATTCAAATGATTTTGTATGAAAAATAATTTTTAACTATTTAGCTGCAAGATGATATTTTAAATACAATTGTTATTACAATGCGCGAGAAATCATAGACAGAGACAGAGACAGATGAGCTGCATGCAAATCTGAAAATGAATAGTGAAAAATGGTAATTAGAAAAAAAAATATATTAGAAAAAGTGATATGGTAGTTACCATGCAAAGTACAACTTGTTAGAAATGAATTGTGGCTGATATTAATTATTTAAAATAGAATGAAATTTTCCCATGAAGCACTGTGAGAATTAAAAAAAATAAAAATAATTTGTTTACGTTGTTGTTTAATTAAATAGACTATAGACACAAATAGCCACTGATGTCTTGTTAAGAGAAAAGGAGCTGCAAAAATTGTTTTACCCCTTCAAATAGTGGTCATTGCATACGCAGTTCCAAATACAGCAGCGATGAAATGGATGTGATTACGGGTAAGAATAGAAGATTATTTGATGAGCAAAAACATCGTCTCTCACTCTCAACTAGATCTCAACAGCTGCTATTTGCATCTACGGTCAACTAAAAATATTACCTTACACTTATTATGATTATTGAACAGTTTCAAGACTCAACTTAAGACTCGTCTTTTTAGGAAAGCCCTCAACAACTCGTCATCTCTATGTACAGCACCATTGAACATTACTTTGTTTTGGATACTGGCACTTTATAAATTACGTATTATTATTATTAAATAATTGTTTTGTCAAATTTGCATTTTACTGTAATGCATGTTTATTTGGATTTACACAAAATCCATTTATATAGGAAACATAGGCATATGTCACCACTACATACAAAATGTAAAGGCATGGTTTATATCACAGGCACTCTCCTAGTAGAGTGACTGTGGTTTATATTATAAAAAAAATTCTAAATATCTGAACATAACTTCTGTGTAAAACAACCAGTGTGGCGGTAATAGCAAACAAATTAATTAATTAAAGGCTGTGATTTTAGTATGGTCACTGATGAGCCAAAATGTTTGGCAACTGACCTTCCAGGCATTCTTAGTTCATCACCACAAATGAATTTCAATTTACTGTGGATTGATCAGTTTCTATTTGAAAGCCAAAATAGTGTACTAGTTTTAACCTTATCACCCCCAGACTGTTTCGCTCAAATTATTCTGCACTTTTTTCTTGTATTCTCCAATATTTCTGGAATTGAACCCTAATTTTGGAGCCAACTGACAAAATTTGAGTAAATTCTCAGTTTTTACTCAAAAAATTTGGCTATTTTTGTCCCAATCTGAAGAACTCTTTGACTGAATGACTATTTTGTGAATTTGTGATGAAAAGATGAAACTGGTGGTGAAAAAGTTAAAGATCCAGAATCTCAGTTTATCTACAATTTTATTTAATTAATCTTTTCAATTTCCTTCAAATTTTGGGTACAACATTTTTTTTCTATATTTTCCTACAATTCCTTCGTTATGACCAAAAAAAATTCAAGGATTTAAGGAAAAATTCAATTTCATTTTTGAGTCTACTTCAAAGGGCAAAAGTAACTTTTCTCACATCCTTTGTTTATATAAAACAAAACTTTACACACATTATTGCCTTGTTAAAAATAAGAATATTTATCCCTGTATCCTTTTTAACAATTCTATAATAGTTTCTTACTCCAATTATAATTTGACAAATGGGTAGAAAACATTATTAATGTTATCCTAACAATTCTATGCCAATTATGATAACAAAATAGTGGTTTAAAATCATGCCTTTATTTACAAAATGTTGCCAAATCAATTTCAGTCTTTTTCTGTGAGTGTGAATAAGTGAATTCTTGGGAAAATTTCATTTAAATTTAAAGATGATGTTAGTTTTTTGATGATGTATAAGAAAAGGAGGAAGGAGAAAAACATGGAATGAAAAAAAGGAATCAGGAAGTTACCTTCATGGTTTTTCATCTGCAAAAAGCAAAATACAAAAGGAAATTCAGAAATATTATACAAAAATCACAGGACCACAATTTAAAAATTTATTTCTAACAATAAAAAAAAAAAAATAACAAAATGGTAGTAATAACTTAAAGAACTGAGAAAAAAGAAGATAGAGAGAAAAATGGTGACAAGTAATTCGATTTCAGTGGGTCTCTTGAAACAGCCAGTTGATCAATCACTGGATTGGGGTTGCAGGAAACAGTCAGAGGATTATTCAAATAATCAATCACAAGCTGTTTAACTGCCACTGGTTATCACAAAAAAAATTCTCATTCTACAACTCCCCTCCCCTTCTTTGCCAAAACCATCTTAAAACAGTCTATTTCGCTATGAAACATAGAATTTTGTGAGCTTCAACCCTGATCAGTAAATGAATCCATAACTTTACCAATATTTGCAAGAGAATTGAGAAAAGAGCAAAAAACATCTGATTGCCACTGCATAATCATTCAGTCTTGTACTGGAAATTTGGACACAATTTTTACTGCCATGTTGTTTTGATAATAATCACAAAACCATTAATTCAAATCTCTATTAATTAGACAAATAAAAAAAAACAAAAAACAGTTTCTGGTAATGGTACACATCAATATTCAAATTTTAAATTTTAAATACCACCCACTTTGGTGGATAAAAACAGGTCACATATTGAGGTCACTGGAATAACTACTGTCCGTTCCTATGGAAGTCAATTAAACGCTTGTTAAACTCAATGAAGAATTTTCATGTTGTTTTGCACCATTAAACAAATATGACACTATCAAAAATGAACCAAAATGCATAGCATACTGTGCAATTGATTGACCGTTGAAAACAATTTAAAAAATATTTGTTTCAGCGACTTCAGTGCAAGTTTATTTCTGTAGACCTATCTTTCCTTTTCTGAAAACAGAAAAATTAAATGTAAGTAAAAATAAAAAAAAGCGGACAAATGAGTGCACATTACATTGAGTAGATTTTAAACTTTTGAAGTAATTGATAATATTACCTGCTGATGCAGCTCCCATTTCTGTTGTCGTGGGAACAGTATCTTCTTTACATGTACTGTCAACACCTGAGTCATTACTGGCATCTGACTTTCGTTCCTCTGCAAGCGACTGCTCATTATTATCAACCCTCCCTTTATTTTCTTCTCTTGCTTGTGCGTCTGCAAGAGAAAATTATCAAAATCTTGTAATTTTTTTTAATTAATATACAAAATGTGCCACAACATGTGTTGTCTGTTAAAATCAAGTCAATCAATGCATTTATGAGATAGGATGAGTCAAACAAATAGACAAAACATGTCTCATCTCGTAGATACATGTATCGTGACTGATGCTACGGACCTTCTGACATGACATAGGTGGTTTTTAATAAAACAATAAAACATGTATTACCACATTCATAGTGAAAAAATGTACGGTAATACATCGAAAATGTACAGAAAGTATAGTTATCGTAATCAGTCATATCGTGAGCAGCTATTTTGATCCACCTGGACATGCCAGTATCCTAGTTACCTCGGGCATGCGCATTCGCATTTTTCTGAGTTGGAATGCTTATGCGAGAGCGTGATTGAAACGAGATCTTGGTATCATGTCACCGTAGTTGCAAACCCCAAGTAATATGCCTCTGTTAATATTGATAACTTTTCTTTCTGCTTGTCATTTTTGCTGTACTATCATTGCAATAAAATGCAAACACAATGAAATTATTATTAATTAATTAAGCACATTACCTTTCATGGCTCTCTCCTTCCACAAATGTCGATTAAGTTGAAGAGGATCAACCCATGATCTCCTGACGGCCACTGGACTGTCGGCACTACTTGTACTGCTAATTCTTCTTGCAGCAGCTGCCGCACAACTTCCACTGCTTTTCCGTCCACTGTCTTCAACCCCCTCAGATTCATCTGAAATGCTAGTTTCTTCAATTGCTCTGTTACCTGTCATGCCCGGTGGAATGATCTTTTCGAGCATGTCACCTAGGACTTGGAAACTAGGATCCACAATGAAGTCGATAAATCCTAAAAAGTAAACACGTCAAGAAAAAAGTCACGAGAAGTTTTTACACCATTAAACCTGCATGATCAGTACAGTAAGTACCTGTAGGTCAGAAAGTTTGAATTCTACCTAGAGTTGTACCTAAAAAACCCCAACCGCTAACCCTTGGTGAGTACAACATTATGATTATGATGAGTACAGTAAGTACCTGCAGGTCAGAAAGTTTGAATTCTACCTAGAGTTGTACCTTAAAAAACCCCAACCCCTAACCCTTGGTGAGTACAACATTATGATTATGATGAGTACAGTAAGTACCTGCAGGTCAGAAAGTTTGAATTCTACCTAGAGTTGTACCTAAAAAACCCTAACCCCTAACCCTTGGTGAGTACAACATTATGATTATGATGAGTACAGTAAGTACCTGCAGGTCAGAAAGTTTGAATTCTACCTAGAATTGTACCTTAAAAAACCCAACCCCTAACCCTTGGTGAGTACAACATTATGATTATGATGAGTACAGTAAGTACCTGCAGGTCAGAAAGTTTGAATTCTACCTAGAGTTATACCTTAAAAATCCCAACCCCTAACCCTTGGTGAGTACAACATTATGATTATGATGAGTACAGTAAGTACCTGCAGGTCATAAAGTTTGAATTCTACCTAGAGTTGTACTTTAAAAATCTAACCCTTGGTGAGTACAACATTGTTTTATTAGCAGCAACACGTAGATGTATAATTAAAAACAACAGTATAGACGGTTGATTCTTGTCAACATGAACAAGTACAACAACCTATACTACGCAAGACTAAACTCATTGGCCAAGAATCATTAACAGTTTTTAAAGGGATCGTGATTTAAGTATACAGGTGCCCATCAAAATTCACTGTCGTTATTTGTTAATTGCTTTTTGAGAATGAATAAATAAGGAAATTATTTACTGGGTCAGAGAGTGAAATTCTCACAAAACACTCATTGGGACACACCATTATTGGCACAGGGAAATACTCAGTCATTGGGACAAACCATTATTGGGACAGAGGGAATACAACTCCATAAGCATACCATTATTGGGACAGAAAAGTTCTTTTTTGTGAAAAGAACTAATTTTTAAAAGGAGGCTCAAATATTTATCAAATATTACAAAATGTTTAAAACTGTACCCAAAATACAAAGAATCTGGCAGTTGAAGATAACTATTTTATAAGTGAACACACTGAATCATTACAACAGAGCGTACCTATTTGAGATTCTGCAATCATTGTTGTTTTTCGATCACAGAGAGGAGAGAATGGAATTCCCAGATCCTGCTCTTTGTCTCCCTGAAAAATTAAAGAATAAATGACATGACATCACATAAACCGGTACAACTAGCTGTGAGTAGGGAGAGATAACTGACATGGCCAAGTAAATAATCCCTATCTCAATACTATAGAGTTAACAGTCATGAATAAACCTTAAATAAAAATATGTAAATTGACAATATAAAGCTGTGTATTGTTACTTGTACAAATCGTTGTTAGGAAGTTATCCAAGATGGCGACATTCACCAAAAGTGAGCTAAATTTTGTTAACCATTGTTATGTGATAGTTTTTAGGATTATAGCTACAGGCCACTTGTTCAAATGTTGCTACCTGGTAATCCAAGATGGCGACATTCACCAAAAGTGAGCTAAATTTCGTTAACCATGTGATAGTTTTTAGGTACAATTTATTTATGTCAGCTGAGAGGCAGACGATAAAAATATTACAGCCCAAATGTAAAGTAAACATTTGACCACTGCTGCAAATCTTGGGTGATGAATAAGGAGCTGATTGTATTAAAGATACATCGCCATCAGTGTCTCCTCCAAGCCAACAGTCACTAAGGCACAGAGATTTTTCGAGACGCAACTAGTTACACTTATCTTGAAAAATATTTAACTATAGTTTTAAAATGTGCAAATCAGGGATTTAGTTTGTATCTTCAGAAACTAACTTTAATAACAGTCACATACAATCTTAATTTCTTTTATTGCTATCAACAACAAGACTCATTTTAATTTCAGATTTCATTTTAATGCATACAAAATCTGACTAATTAGAGGGCAAACTGAACCATTATTTATACTATGCTAAAAAAGTATGTGTGTAATTATTTCTACTTTTAGTTTCTGCATCCCCTTGAGAAAAGAAATCTGAGTTGAAGATGCATAAAATGAAAAAATAAATACTGACCTGTCTGAAGAATTCCTCCATTAGGAGTTCAGTCCATTTGTAGTGTATTGGCCAGTCTTTGGCTGGATGACTAATATCAGCACAGTGTAAAACAAGAGATAAGGCCTTTGGCTTGTCAATACTATAAAACAAACAATATATGTCATCAGCAATAAACTTCAATGGTGTACAACTGTATTCATTGTAGTTTCTAAAATCATTTACAGTTACACTTGTAGAAATATTGTTCATGGCAATGTGTTTTTTCAAAATAAAAATTAAGTCATCGTTGTTATTTAGTTATATGTCACACTAAGTGTCAGGCGCACCTGCATCAATAGCATCACAGCTGAGGTGAAGCAGAGACGCTGGAGATGGCTGGGGCATGTGCTAAGAATGGGCAGAACCAGACACCCTCATGCTGCATTGAGATGGGCACCACCTGGGAAGAGAAAGAGGGGCAGGCCTCTGGGCACTTGGAGAAGGACTGTGGAAGAGAAGTTGAAGGCAGCAGGGAAGACCTGGAATGAAATAGGATGGCTTGCACAAGACCGTGACGGCTGGAGGAGATTTGTCGGCGCCTTATGCTCCATCCGAAGCGAAGAGGAGTAAAAAAAAAAGTGTCACTGCTCTGAATGATCTTCACCGTGGTCATGTGATAAACAGTTTTATTCGAGCAAACTGGTGTCAAAAATATCGTTCACTGGCCAAATAAGACAGGTGATCATGGATCTTTATATCACCTGTACGTTGCATCTGGATTGCCTAAATATGGTCACAATGAACAGGTGTTCTTTATATAAACATGATCACTAACGCAGGTTTTACTGTATATGGTTATGGTGCTACCACACAGACAGTGAACATCCGTTCCTTCTGCACCACTCCCTGGTCTGTCCAAGTTTGAGTCACCCCTACTAACCCTTCATTTTTCTTTCACGTTTCTTTATTTCATGGGGATCACTTCGCTCCACTAGCAGCCCGTGTTCCCTCTTTTGGGCATTGGATTTCACCCCCCCCCCCCCATGTCGAGGTCGAGTGGCCGCATAAATGTTTTCCCCCTCCTTCAATTTTGATCCCGAAATCCATTGCTCAGGGGGCCACTTGTTGTCTCGGTAGGTAGAAGTCGGCCCCTGCCCAATTTTGTAGTTTATTGAAATGTATTTATGAATCTGTAATTTGATTAGTTTTGTAGTAGTTGTTTTTTCAATAAATGTGTCTCAGCCTTTCATCAGATTTCTGTGTGCAGTGTTTTTACAAACGTTGACTTACTTTTCAGGTATACTAAGAAGGTTTTTCATTTGCTTGATTTGTTGGAAGTGATAGGACATATCGGTTGCAAGCACCATATCAATTACTAGAGTTCTTAAATCCCTGTCAACAAAAAAAAAAAAAAAAAAAGTATTAAAACCGCGCACACATGATGTACTTCTTGAAATAATGTCAATGTATATTGCCAACAAAGTGAAGAATGAAAAATATCTAAACCATTTTCATATACCGGTATGTAGAAAACAAAATGCAAAAGCAAAATGCACCAATACTTATAGAAGTACAAATAAACCAACAATTGTGCATTCATTGCATACTTGATCATTTTAAGGTTATCACAAGAATACTTCAACCATTTTTACCACCATACTTTTTTGCCTAAATATTTCTGCACTTTTTTATATTTTTCAATATTCCTGGAAATAAACCCGAATTTTAGAGCCAACAGACAAATTTTGAGTCATTTTTCAGTTTTTACTAAAAGATTTTTGCTATTTTTGTCCCAATCTTTTAAAGGAAAGTGCAGACTATAAACGGGACCTATTTTGTGAATTTGTAATAAAAAGCACAAACTGATGGTGAAAAGGATAAAATACGCATGAATCGGTACAGCGATCATATATTTGTATTTACATGTGTACCAACGCATAGTGGATGTCAATGTAACCTTGTACTGCTTGGGTAAATTCTTGGCGGTATTATCGTGATAACCTTATTATTGTACTTCTTTTCTCTGCTCATGGTAATAATTTAATGAGATTATAACTCAAAATAGCAATAAAAAACGTTTGCATTGATTGACAGGACTCAATTTGCATTATATCGCTTCTTGCACCCAATGTCAACAAAAGAAAGAGTTGAATGTTCAACCTTTAACATGTCAGTGTTGGTGATGTAGATTACCTCACATAAGGAACAACTCGAACGCGTACTGATACTGCTTTTTTTCATACAGAACAGCAAATTCTATTGTTTTTGGTAGTATATGTATAATAATATGACTATAGTAGCGCAATGTATTATGCACTCACCTGTACTCATCTCGAGATAGATTACTGAGAATGTTTTTATCATCTTCCAACATTACCCGAAATGATCCACTAATATGGTGGTTTTCTAACACAGCCCTGTCATTATACAAAAGTGCTGTTTCAGACCTGTAAATATAAAAATGGAAGAAATGCCAGAAATGTTCAAAATATGATAATTATATGCGTTCACAGCTACTATTGACTAAGCAATGAACTTCATTCATAAATTTTGAGAGTTATCTGGCTATAATCCTGCACTTATTGCAAGATACTGCAACAATGTCATGCACAAGATCGAGAATAGCACAAAAAATAAACAGTTTTACATTTTCTCCCATCTGGCAATAATATTATAATTCATTCATGAAAATCCTCTAATCCTCTTGCTCTAAATTAAAGCAGTATGCAGAAACACAAAGAATCAGAATTTTGAACTTTGATGAAATATGTCTTTGTAAACAGGAAGTAGTATACACAATGTGATCATGTTGCATTGTGGGTAGCTGTGAATCACTGCTTATTCCTAACATCTATACATGTACTCTGAATGTAAGAAATTATGGGAACTTACCTTGAATTAATATGAAAGGTGTTTGTGGTACCTGTGTGTTCATAATCATGAATTAGGGCTGCTAATAATGATGCATATATCTCTAAATCTGTTAACCAGTGCTGAAAAATACAAACAGGTTATGATCACTGACTAATTAGATATGCACATAAATAATGAGTGGTGAATTTTGAGGCAATTTAAATAATCCAATCACAAACAAGTTATGATCACTGCCTAATTAGACATGCACACAGATAATGAGAGGTGTGGTCATCTGAATTTTGAAGCAATTTAAACAATCCAATCACAAACAAGTTATGATCACTGCCTAGTTAGATATGCACACAAATAATGAGAGGTGTGGTCATCTGAATTTTGAGGCAATTTAAATAATCCAATCACAAACAAGTTATGATCACTGCCTAATTAGATATGCACATAAATAATGAGTGGTGAATTTTGAGGCAATTTAAATAATCCAATCACAAACAAGTTATGATCACTGCCTAATTAGATATGCACACAAATAATGAGGTGTGGTCATCTGAATTTTGAGGCAATTTAAATAATCCAATCACAAACAAGTTATGATCACTGCCTAATTAGATATGCACACAAATAATGAGAGGTGTGGTCATCTGAATTTTGAGGCAATTTAAATAATCCAATCACAGACAAGTTATGATCACTGCCTAATTAGATATGCACACAAATAATGAGAGGTGTGGTCATCTGAATTTTGAGGCAATTTAAATAATCCGATCACAAACAAGTTATGATCACTGCCTAATTAGATATGCACACAAATAATGAGAGGTGTGGTCATCTGAATGTTGAGGCAATTTAAATAATCCAATCACAAACAAGTTATGATCACTGCCTAATTAGGTATGCACATAAATAATAATGAGAGGTGTGGTCATCTGAATTTTGAGGCAATTTAAATAATCCAATCACAAACAAGTTATGATCACTGCCTAATTAGATATGCACACAAATAATGAGAGGTGTGGTCATCTGAATTTTGAGGCAATTTAAATAATCCAATCACAAACAAATTATGATCACTTCCTAATTAGATATGCACATAAACAATGAGAGGTGTGGTCATCTGAATTTTAAAGAGTGATAAACGAAATTATGTGTATAATATATATTTTGATATACTAATTACACATGGTACAAGTTTGTAGGGCTAGTGAGAAGATATATTGAAATAATGTTGCTATATATGGGTAGTACACATCAAAATACAAAATTTTAGCTTGAATAAATTTTCTCCCAAAAAACTTTTCAGATGTTTAGTATGGAGTTTATTCTCACTTTTTTTCTGTCAAGTTGAAATCACCCCTTGAGCGAAAAATAGCAAAAATAACTTCCAAGAGTTTTTACAGTATCAGAGCTAAATCACACACGGATCCACTGCTTAAGTAACAGGATAAGCTATAAATATGAAGTGTGATGTTGATGATACTCACCATAAGACCTGTATGTACCATAACATGATGAACTGTTTGTGTAACATCTGCTGCGTGTACTAAATTATGATATGGATTCTTGTATTTACTATAGCCAGCCTCTAATGCATCTAGGAAAGCATTCAAATTAGTAACAGGAATCTGAAAATATAAAATGATATCATGTCAGTTATACACTCAGTTTGTGACTTTCGCACCACAAATACTTTTCACAGACAGCATCTTAAAGCAGGAGGGTCATCACCTGCGTACACGCGGGAATTGAGTCCCAAGCGACGATAACACACGCTAAAAACACAAAGGCTCATGGGTAGACGCTTGTTTGTAAACAATGACACGTTCAGGCCATCTGACGCATGGCAGGTGACGACTCCCTCGCTTTAAAAGGAAGTGCATCTGTCAAATGATTTTAAATGCAAATGACTGCTGAAATTGTATTGACAGTGAAAGAACAACAACTTATTTTCGCCCCAACAAATAGACCGTTATTTAAATTTATGTTGGATTAGATGAGATTAACTTTATATGCAAGTATCCCTGAACCATGAATAACATGACAAATGGTATGCCACTGTGACTCAATTGTAGGAAAGAGCTTATCCAAATTTTGTTGAGAACAACTAGGCCGTTACACTGTGACGTTGTATGTTTACATTTATGCCAACCAGCATGCGAATGCCTGGTATTAAACAAGTAACGCTCACTGATCACCATTATATACTATGGCAACATTGCCCATAAGTTGTTTTAGGAACACGTACATTAAATACAACAGCAGTAAACAACACCATGATTTCATTTTTGGGTGCAAACGACTGAATCAGTCACTGCGTACACGTACATGTATATGTGTATGTGTGCAAAACGGACAGCTTATAATGTACCATTCTTTTATGTCATTGTGTCAACTGATTTATGAACCATAGTAGTTGGAACAGTGGATATGGTGATGGGAGAGAATGGAACTCTATTTGAGAAGTCAGTTGCCATTTGCGTTCAAGGTTTAACTGACGGCAATTAAATGACTACAATACAAAATGTATCTTGAATAGACAAATAAAAGGGAAGGAAACAAAATTAGCTTACTGTGCATGCAAAATGTTATAATCTTTATTAATAATTACTTTATTACACAACTAAATCATCAGAGAGTTTAGTAAGGTAAAGAGAATGACAAGACATAAATAAACAAATGTAATAAAAACAGTAAGTAAGTAAGTAAGTAAGTAAGTAAGTCCTTTTAGATTGACGTCAGCAAACATAAGTACTTTACCACCATAGTTTTGTATCAATCTGAGCCACAGGTGATAATTGATGTTACTCTGGAATTATATGCATAACCAATGAAAATAAGGCAAAAATTATATTTTTAAAATTTGCTGCATCATACTTACCTTGAATTTAGATATAAGGTCATATCTCGTAAAAAGTTCATACGCCATGTACTTCATAGCATGATTGTCACTCGCATCATTAAGAGCAAACACATTAAATGACCAATCATCAACATTCTACAGAAATAAGGAAATTGTAGAAGCTGTTATGGTATTGGATAATTCACTGATCATGTGATCTATGAAGGGTCTTATTAACCAATCAGGAACACTTTTATAACACCTTAAACCATCACCAGTCACACATTTAAGCACCAGTCCTCACACCATGTTGTGTTCGATATACATGTAAACATAAAAATATTTATCGTTTACATGAAATTTGAGCACATACTGTTTGACGACTGTGGCATCGCTTTAAGACAATTATTTAAAGTTAGTAATTTTTTATTCATAAGCTATGACTTAACAGATCAACCTTACCAGAAACGACCCAATTTTAATATCACTTGTGAATAGATACTAAACACATGCATAAATTAGAAGCCCAGTTTCACTTCAGAGATATATTCTGTAAAACATGTCTTTTTCGCAAATTTAGTGAATTTAGCGAGAGAACTGATTCGCTAATTCAAGATGTCGCTAATGACTTTATTATAAATTCAAAATGGCCAAGGCTTGGGGGATTTGTATACAGTAATCCGGAACTTAAATATCTGGGGCGCTGACAGTTTTTCTTTGTTTTTATCGAGGTGATAACTGCGCATTTGTTTTAGCATGCAACAGACAAGTATTGTGAAAACAGAAAATCAACAATAACAAGGAAGATTCGCTAAATCAACATTTCGCTAAAATTGCATGTCGCTTTTTCAACATGTTTTACAGTAAATTTTAGTTTATTATTACATGTCAATGTACCGTACATGAAAGGCAATTTCTTTAAATGTGTTTACGGTAGTTCAAATACAACAAATTTGGTATTTCATTATTAAAACTAGCTATCACAGTGTAGTGGATCTATTAAGTCGCCATCAAATATAAATCAACCCTTTCAGTCAAACTATATTTCTACCATAAAAGCTAGATGAAAGATTTCTATATTGAGTACATTTGATTTATTAGTTATAGGTTTCGTCCACAGATGTAGACTGAGCTTCGTTTCATGAAAAGTTACAAAGTTCAACAATATGATGAAAGGGCTAAAAACAAAAAGTAAAACCAAGCTGCAAGAAATGTTCACCCATTAGTACGTGTTAATAATGAACCTTGAAAAGCAGCCACTTTATTTTATGATCATTATTATTAATTATTTAAATCTACGTTGGATTAGATGAGATTAACTTATGCAAGTAGCCCTGAACCATGAATAACATGACAAATGGTATGCCAAAGTGACTCAATTTGGGGAAAGAACTTATCAGAATTTCGGTGAGAACACACAGCATTACAAAAAGTGGATGAAAGAATAAATTTTGAGTGAGTGAGGGAATACAGAAATATTGGCTGATAGAATGATGTCAATGTTGGTCACACAATGGCAACTAGTGAGTACACCATGCATTGTTTGTGCTGTTGTGGACTGAAACTGAAACAATGCAATAGAAATCAATGGTTGAAGAGAATAGTAGAACACCATCATTCAATTTTGTACACCTCACAGAACCAAATCACTAATTATTTTACTAGGCCTATACAACATAGACATTCCAGATTAATAAGACTATGATAGGATTTCAATGAAATTCCCCGGGAAAAAAATTTATAACCAGAGGCAGGTCAAATGACAGACTAAGTTTTATTGTATCTTAGATGAGTGGAGCCTGGTTCATGCACAAAACCACACAAAATATTTGGGATGCAAGCACACACAAACTAATTTTAATTTATTTGAGGTTATTGTTTTAGTATTATAATACATTATATTAACTCCTTTCAATAAATTATTTCCGAATACTTGCAGTTCGTGGACTTCTTGCTGGTCCCTATAGAAAAAACATTCAACAAAACTGGATGAACAAATGAACAAATAGGGCAAAAAAAAAATATTATTACATGTCTTCACTTTAAAAATGCAAAAAAAGGCAGCATAAACTGGATTTGGCTGAATATAACCAAATCTTGTATAAATGTAGGTTCTGTACAGACAGTGGTAAAACAAAAGCACAGCATTGCACATGTTTGACCACAGAGGGCGCTATGACATACCTTGAACAGATTGATAACAGATGGTGGATAGGTGATCCCTGACATACCACTAAGTCTCCTATATATCCTGTGACAAAAAGAAATAATGAAAACACTACTACCATATATGTTCTATTGCAAGCACATATTATTATGTAAAAATAGCTGACATGAAGGGTTCATTGAGAATTTTTTTTTTTACAATCCCACTGTAATTTTTAGGGTCACATGCAAATATATATCATATAATCACAGATTTTATTGTCACTAGAATACTGTGAAAAATAAAATATTGAGTACAATATTGATCATGTTGTATTGGTATCCTAACAAGAAATCAAGAAATTTGTTGTAAAATGTTTACTCCAACCGCTTTTATCATCTTGTACAATTTATTTGACTTTTTATGTGTGCTAATAAAAAAGAAGCATCAGTTTCATACTGCATCTGATCCACTGTTCCATCCAATCAAAATTAGCACTGAGCAACTTGCGTAAATTCTCCAAGAATATTAAATATTAATTTTGTTTATAACATTAATCCTTTGAGCACCAAAATTTTTTCTTGGATAAATTTGTTCCCATTTTTTGTAATTTGCACTAAATTCAATCTTAATTTTGGACCACATAGACAAAATATGATATTGGTTCTAGTTTTTGTTTCAAAATTTGGAAATTTTCGCAAAATTTTATGTGGGAAAAAAACTGACTCTAAATGGAACTATTTTGTGGATGGTGCCTGAAGTTGACTTTGGTGCTGAAAAGGTTAAGAGTAAAGATAGGTTTGTGGGTAATTTGATTGCATCATACTATCCTGATAGTGAAACAAATAATTCATAACTCACCAGACAGACAGTATGCCTGCATTGATTCGTTGTGTCATAAAAAATCTCTTTGTCAATGACGCAACAAATTGGCTTAAAGGTATACTGCACACAGAATAAGTAAGATAACCATCATGTCTAAGGTAACAATTGAAAAAAAAAAATGAAGAAAACAAACTTACCTATCCACAAATATGCCTGCTCTAACAGCCTGAACAATACTGCGGAATTTGGGTTTCTCATCGCTTGATCTTCCTGCTTTACTAAACTGTCGTGTAAATGTTGACGCTAACCAGTCTCGAACCTCGTTTGGCACCGCATCAGGATGCACTTCCGACAACTCATCGTCTTCGTCAAAAAGCCGCCTACCAACAGGAGGAGATCATGCAAATGAGGGACAGTGATGGAGAATACATGAAGACGATGACGTATGAGAACAAAACACTGGTTACCTAGCAACAGGATGAAAATATTAATGAGTGTAGCAATCAGCAATAAAAGTTGGGATTAAAAAGTCCCGGTCTAAAGTCACCTAAAGCAGGCAGATGAGCTTATGCAAATGAACTGCATGGGAAGCAAGATAACTCAGGCATTAGTTGATACCCAAAACAGTTAATGCTATAAGAACTCACTAGGCAACATTAATATAGTTGTCATGGTAACCACCTTAATATTATATTATATACACACCCTACTGAGACAAGCTACCATCACTAACATACCAATCTAACACATGTAGTTATATGAAATATGAAAAATGAAATATGACTAAAAATGATGGCATGACAAATTAATGTTAGTCCATTTATTATGACATGGATACTAGGACAATACAGCTCATGGACAGATTATGCGAGTTATACTATAAGAACAAGACTCACCAAAGTCGAGTGATACTCAACTCGGTTTATATACACAATACCAGGACGTAACACAGTGTTCAGTCTGATTTGATCAACATATTCTACGAGTTAAGCTACCTGCATGTACGTGTATGTTAAACTTTTTATATGTGCCTACATTAGTTTTCATAGAATATGATTATCTCTTTACACTTTACCTTCGTTAGTATTTTCTTGTGTCATTAAAATACTACCTAATTTTTGTTAGAAATGTCAACAAAAATTTTACAACAATTTTATATTTGTTTACGAATTATTTTTAGAGGTAAAATGTATTATTTGATAGCAAATGTGGCAAAGAATTTAGAGACTGCTTCATTCCACCAGTGAAATATAAACGCAACAGCAAGCTTCCTCTTCAAGTTCAGCGGAGTATAAGAACTATTTTGTTACCACGGTTACCTGCTTGACCCTGACTGCTTACTGGAGGTGCTGGAGACAGATTTTTTATCTTCGGTGTCTGACACATTGTTGTTGTCAGGGGAACTGTTGTCATCAGTGTTACTGTTTTGCTCGCCTGGGGGTCTTGGGTTTGTCACCATGGAAACCATATCACAAGGGTAAAGTCACATCACAACATCATGTATATAATGTACAATTTTTTGGGAAAAAAGGGAAAGAAATCAAAGGACAATTAAAATAAGAGCAACATGCAACATAAAACAAATATCAAAACTGAGGGATTTTCTTTTCACAACATTTTACCTTAGGAAGCTGAAAATTTCTAATCATCTCGTTCCTTAAAAACATTTTAAGGTGGGCATTCTTGAACACATTTTTTCAAAGCAAATCATCAACAGATTCTTAAGGCTGCTCAATACAGTTTCAAAAAGGTCTTTTGATTTTTTAAAAAATATTTTGTAAACATATTGCTTTCTGCTTTACAAGGTCATATTATTATTATTTTTATAATTTTTTTGTTATTATAAGAAAAGAAAATGTTGGTCATGTACCAAATGTTTTTGGATAAATGTAATAATACCTCATACAAATTATGAAATTAATCAATTCATGGAACTTGGTTAATTATAAAAAAAAATCATTGCAATTTTTTGAATGGAAAAGATGGAAAAACAATCTGCCAATAAATGCCACGGTCACCGAGTGAGCACGGTTTGTGGCATATGAGCAGCCATTCAAGCCTTAGAGCATGTAACCAGTGGAATAGTCAAGTACTTAGGTTACATTTGATCTTTTTTTGTATCAAAGTTTGGCTGACGTCACCACTGCTTAGTTGAAATATTAGAGCCGAATTTTCAAGAGGAAATTTCCAAATAGAATGCCACCTGATATTGCCAAGTACGCAACAATAAATAGTTTTTTTCAACTTCCTTAATCAAATTAAATTGAATGAAAACAAAACAAAACGTAAATAAACTTGGTAATAAATAAAATAAACAAAGTCAAATGGAGTACAATAACCTGTAAAGGAATGATTAGACAGCCTTCTGTCAGCAGAACAAAAGGATTCTAGTCAATATTACATTAAACATGCAACTACAGCGATTTACTTGGATAATATAGCACTGCATACATAAAAAAGCAGTTTATCAGAGAAACTGGGAGAGCAAATACAGGTTACACGCCACCCAGTAACAGCGATAACTAGCCAGTTCAGAGACTTGTTAAATTAATTCGTTTTAAAGTGATCTTTAAAAGCAAAACTACAGTTAATAACGTGATAATATTTTTGGTGCAAGTGGTTTTGCCGTTACTAACACTAATATAATTATGTTACATTACTAGCTGTACTAACATTCTGTTTATTTGTTATTTTAAAAATTATTCATACATTCTGGCTTCAGAATACCCCTGGTGGATGGATTATTGCCTACTGAATTAACTGTCTGTGTTTACTTAAAAATACAAAAATTATTATTACTCATTAGAATTCCAATTCAATTTGCATAAAAACAAAAGAATCAGAATAAATAAACACTGCAGCAAAATCGACATTTAACATACACAGAGCACAAGCAACTACAGGAGATGCATCTACTTTAGGTTAGAGAAGATTGGCAGAAAAACAAAAGGAAAACCAAATGCTAAAAGAGGGCGCTCTTCTACTTATTGGCAAATACATTTACCTGTCAAGCTCTTGGTGGCGCACTTGGACTGAACTAAAGGGTAGAGAGCAGAAAAGAATAATGACACTGACAACTAAAAATAATATGCAAAATGTAACTTTTCTCACCAGCAAATTTGCTTGTGTCAAAAAGACAGTGCAAAGACGGCAGGCAGGTGAAAAGGCAACCTGGCAAAGCAAACTGAAGCAAGAATTATACATTAATTTTATTTTTTACAGAGAGTTTATTTTATTTAACAATATTATACAAAATTCCTAACAAAGAAAAATTTAGTTTTATTGTGTATTTTTCATTAATAAATTCAAGGTTAATTATATTAAATTTGTTTATAAATTTTTAAAGAGTATTAAATTACAAGTAAACAGTATTTATTTTTGCTACAAGTCGGTGCTCATTGAGCATTACAATCACTTTCCCAAAAATAATTTTTTTTTGTAAGCAACATATTTTACGTCTAACATATCTACTTTTTTTAAATTTTCCTAGCAAATCTGATTCACATTAACAGCACATTTCCAAATATTTTCCCACAATTTAATTAAAATTTGAAAAAACAAAAGAATACACTGTCATTCTCAAAGATGGCGCTTGTTTTAGAACTGTCCAGAATGATGATGGATGGATGGATGGAAGGAAGGATGACACAGTGGATCGGGTTTGGACCATCAATCAATATTCCGTCAATATCATCTTAAAGGAATTCTATAAATTTGTAATATATAAAAGTATTGTTGATTTTTTCTGAATAAAGTGCAAACATGTATTTCTGTTATTTTAAATTAAACTTAATTTTGATCCAGCAAAAAGTTTTAAAAAACAAAAATATTCTAAATTATTTATATTTTTATTTTGGTAAAATTTTTGCGAGAAAAAGGTGATGAAAGTTGAAAAAAGTGAAAATGGAAAGCATGCAAAAAGTGGGAAAATATTTGGAAACATGCAGAATCTGACTAGTGCCACATTTTACTAGTTTTGTTAATTAAAATATTAAGAAATAATAGGAGTTAGTAAATTTGTTCAAATCCTTAACTACAAAATCATTTCCTGCCTCTTACTTTTATTACAATTTAATCAGTTTATGCTTAGTTTTCATCTCAAAATAAAGTTTCCATGAATGAACTTTTTTTAAGAGATTCATACACAGAATAGTTTTACAAATTTGTTGGCAGGAACATTTTTTATAGCTAAACTGTGATGTCAGTGTAAGACACACAATTAACAGTGATTGTATTAGTATATTATGACCTATATAGACTAAGAATCACTCCAACCTGTCCTGTTTCTGTATATTCAGAGGGGGTACTCTAAGAGCCACTGACTGCGTGGCGATATCCTCAGATCGGCTGGCGGAACAAGAGAAAGAAGAAAAACATGGAAAGAGAATGGCAAGTAAGATAAATTGTGCAAAATGTTTTCAGTCATTGATTGGAGCGATAACTGCTCAATACATATACTGTCCTTGTATTTTGATCCAGTGCCAAGTTCACCATGTATTTAAGATTTACTCAGCAGCCATTGTGCCTCTACCTGGTACTGGTATTGCCCAGCATTCATCTTCACTAGCGTGAAATGCAATCACCACACTAGTGACATTATCAATCTCTGACCTCTGACACAGGTCACCCTCAATTCTTGCATGCACTTTCGTAGTCGTGACAACTTTCACCACCACATCTTTTCCAGCTAGCATATTAGTACAAATAAACCATTTGCAAGTATATGTGTTCTGTTCAATTATGTAGTTGAAGTTGGCTCAAAGACAGTCAATTCATTATGAGCAAACACCATACATGTACATGTGCATACAATACAATATTTATCTTACAGAGTCATGACTATGATAATCAGGTTTGTGGGGCAAATATGTTGTAGGATAGCAATATGACAAACGTTATGACAGACAAAAGTATCACAGTAATTAGTCAATATGGTCTATCTTCTAATATTTTTTATGAAAATATGCTGACTAATTTGTGTAAAGATACAATAGTAGTAAAATTGTTATTGTGAATATGCATGTTATGTGGCTTGTCGCCACTTGTGTCTTGCTTTCAAAGTGACATATTAGAATGTATAAATCTTTACGTTCCTCCAGGGGGATGCATTCATCAGGGGATCGTAGAGGTATGCATAAAGCCTTGTTCACACGTGCTGACAAATGGAGGGTTGGATTGCTTTGTAAATTGTCCTCAAAAGTCGGCTAAATCTCTGATTTGTTTGTACATCACAGTGTTTAAATTTATTAAACTTGACATTCACATTTATTCATATCCAATTCACTTTATACTACTGGGTCGTTACAATATTATATTATATTATATTTTTATTAGACGCATAAAATCCCTAGGAAAGGATAAAAAGGGTCTTACAGAAAGA